GTACCGTGTGGCCCTGTTGACGCCGCGGGCGGTAGCGTGGAAGATGTACGGCTCAATAACGTCGCGTAATCCAAGCCAGGCTTTCGTGAAGCCAGAGATATTATGCTGCGGTAAATATATGGAACGAGCTACAGTACCATATTCGTTCAAAATGAAATTGTTAGGTAACATTTTAAATGGATTATTCTTCGATAAAATGTTGTAATAACTGTTATAATAAAGAGAGAAGTAATAAATGGATGACCGATAATAGAATCGTAATTACTTATAACACTGTAGACTGGGCGGAAAGCGATTGTTAGTAATGAGGTCTAACTGCTCCATTGCTAGCAATACACCCTATCAGATCGACCTCCACGTGGTTCCCCCTGGAAACCATCGTGATTAATTCTAGTGCAATTCATCACGATGGGCAAACTGACCTGCTTTCATCATCACCTATCACCCCTCACTGGTGCTCCGCCAGCGTATACCGTTAGCGCAGGCCGGGTGATCATTTTATTATCACCCATTAAAAAAAAAGTAGACTAAATTAGGAAGAACTATCTAATATGACTTGCTTATAAGCAATAACTTCTTCTGACACTGCAGCATAGAAAAATGCCGTGAGCACCGTATATTTTACCTGAAATATCGTACATGTCGCAACACGGTTTTAATTAACAGACTAAGAATTTTTATTGTATATTTGTAATTTTAATTAAACGGGAGCACATTTTTCAGGTAGCATCATTGTCACTTTTTTCACAGTATAAAAAACCCATTTTTTCTCTAATAACTATAAGTTGGACCGCTGCATAATATAAACTGCTGATATCTATGAGCAGTTTATTCATGTCTATGAATTCCAATATATTTCGACCTTTATTTCATGCGTATGTTATGCGATATTTTCACCAAATAAGGACCGATTTTTTATATAAATTTAATAAAGCTCGTCTATGTCTAATATTTTTTTTATTACTATTTATGTCTACAAATATACCTACTTATTAGTGTAATGTGCAATTCAAACTTAAAGTTAACAAACAATATTCTACTATACAAAAGTCTAGCTAAATGAAGATTAAGGTCTACTACTATCGGCTGCTATCGTTTGTAATTGAGCCATTCTAAAAATTGCCCTATTCGAGAGCTATTGAAAAAAAAATCATGTTACGCGTCCGTAGTTTCGCGAACGCTAAAATTTCCATTTGGTTCAGATCGTTTAAGACCATTGAATGGTCTCCATTGTGCCAACGCTATTGTGTTTTTCTATTGACCGACGCAGCTCATATGGGAATTGCTGCACAGTTCATGGATTTCAATTACTCTGGTCCGTTGTAATTGTGACTGAATTTGACGATTAGCTATTTGAACTTCTCGTTGTAACATTCGTTCTATATTACACGAAACTTGTGTAAATTGGCACCGATATATTTTTAGTGTAGCTTTCTCATGAGATTAGAAAGTGAAAAACGCAGTACTTGTTTAAAATGATATTGATTTTGTGAAGTAATTTGCCTAATTATTATATATTTTAAGTAGTAATTATATTAAAATATATTTAAACAAAATGTGCATAATTTACGTCTAACACTAAGCTAACACTCATTAGTTTTCAGGTGTAGAAATGCTTAAGAATTATTAAAGCAACTCTGAATATTCTGTGTTGTCTATGGTGTTGTTCATATATTCATAGTTTTAACTTTTTTTATCATTTCTAGTTGTAAAATAAGTTTCCTTTTTTAATTTGTCGCAGCCATATTTTTTTATAATGTTATCATCATATTAGAATACTTTTTGAAATAAGACGAATCAGCACTGTAAGTATTAAAATCTATACATTGTATAGATTTTAAATATCTATAAATCTATACAAGTACCTCTTGCTAACATACTTACATGTATAAAGTATATACCTACATGCAATCCTAGTTATATATTTACATACACTCGAAGTAATTACTTTTTTTTCCAGATATTGAATTATTACATTCATGGTAGGGTCTGAACATCTATACCGGTTATGATTGAGAACACTACACTTTAAGTTGTCGACGAGTATGTATACATGGACAAATTGTCCGACTATGTAAGTCCAACTTCGACCGATAATTCAATCGACAAATCTAACTCGGCTGGGTAGCATTCGGAAAACTACGCCATATCTTCTTATCCAAAATACCTCAAAGTTTGAAGACGTAGGTCTTTAAACAGTGCGTGTTGCCAGTGATGACCTATGGAACCGAAATATGGTCGTACACGGTTACCTGTATGCAAAAGCTTCAAGTTACTGAGACATAGAGAAGGCTTTGCTCGGAGTTTCTTTGCATGACAGAATCCGAAATGAGGATATCCGCGAAAGGACTAAAGTGACCGACATAGCTCGAAGAATAAGCTGTCTAACTGATTTGGCAATGGGCTGGTCACATAGCTCAAAGAGCCAACAACCGATGGAGAAGAAAGGTTCGTGAATGGCGATCCCGTACGGACAATCGCAGCGTTGGAAGACCCCACACTAGGAGGGACGACCTCAAAAGCATTGCAGGATGTCAGTGTATGTAGATGGCTCAAGACTGTGCCTTATGACAATCTATTGGGGATGCTGTGTTCAACAATGGATAATTAACGACTGATACGATGATTATGGTGATGTTGAAGACCTAAAACATGATAAATATTACCAGACCCGCCATAACGAGCATAACATGTCATTTGTTCCAGAGACCAAGCATGTAGACAAGAATTGGCCGGAGGAAAATGGGGAGACAACCTATGTGCTTGACCGATAACAATAACAACGGGCAAGACCTGGATGCGCATGGCGAAGATGTAAAGAGTTCACGAAGATTTTTTTTTCTTTTTTTTTTACAACTTAGAATGGCAAACAAGCTGACGGCCCACCTGATAGGAAGTGGTACCCGTCGCCTATAGACATGAGCAGTACCATGCACATAACAGAGTATATTATTTTGCCCATGATACCCCTCATGCGTTGCCATTCCTGAGGACTCAGGTGTTATTCTTCTGTACTTAGTAAATTCACGCCATATCCCACTCTTCAAACCGAAACACAGCCATGTAAACAGAACTGCTTCACGGTTGAAACACGAATGGGACAGAGGTATCCAAGCAATCGACTTTTGTACAAAGTCTCCCTCTGATTAAAGTTCATGAAGAACTTATATTCATCCAACAATGTGTTAACCTGAGCTGAAATAGGAGAATTTTTAACAATAACTAAAAACGGCGTCATATTATTTTTTACAGTTTACTATTACGTAATTCTATTCTGCAACATGCTCACTAAATCCTCAGTTTCTCATAAATATTTTCCACATTGTTTTTTCAGTATTTTATATCATACCAACATTATATATACTATTACAACTACTAAAATTGATATTGGAACTGGCATATGATGCTTTTGTGTTTCAAAAAGGTCATATGAAGGTTTTTTTCTACAAGGAATGCTTACTCGGCAAAACAAATATCAAAGTTTGATCATTATATATTTAATTACATTCTATCCTTTTCTCAGATTGTTTAACACATATGTATTTATCATTAAATACTTAGATATATAAAATATATAAAACATATTCTGGATTAAGACATATATGCTTTTCATACCCTAATACATGCAAGCAATGCCGTGATTTACAGCGAGTAGCCAAATAATTGCCAATCCATAATCGTATAATAAAATTTTTGAATATGGTTAATCCGTCACGTAAATAACAACAAGTTTAACTTGGTAAACAATAACTCAAACCGCAACAATATTTGGTAACAGTAACCAATAGTTCAAGTCCAGCCCTCGGGCAACAGACAATGATATCCCACAACTGGTAATATGAATAAACAAAGTTTGGTTACGGATACCCTACTAAGGGTAGAAGAACTCAATTCGATCTCATATCATTTCTGGTTATTTTTTTGTTACAAATAAGTTGTATACGACATCGACAATAGTTTTAAAAATCTAATTAATTTTCACTATAAAATTTTAGAAAACAAATATTTACTTATTTTAGTGAACATCATCATCAACATCGTTATCATTAAAACTTATCCAACAGCTACTGATGAACATACAGCTCTTTATATTTTATCACAGAGTATGGTTTAGAATTTTGCGTTTCAATAGAAGTTAATGAGTATAAAGAAATGAGTAATTAACCTGACCAAAAGACAGTTTACTGATGTCGAAAAATCAACTAATTGATTGCATGTTCCATTTTGTCACTAATTTTATTTAGAAACTATTTCTATGATAATTTCAACAAAACTTGATCACCTTTTTATTAAGTTTTATTGAAACTGATGCTATTTGAGGATTCACATAGATATTCAGATAGATAGGCATTCAAAATTCTTTATATATATATATAATATTCCTAATACGCCTCTAGAGGATGGATGTTAAAATCAGGATACGAATTTATCTAATTTGAGAGAGAGTTGCAACGTAACTGTAACAATTAGTAGTGGCAAATACTGGGGACATTGTGAGAGCTTCCTTCTACAGACCCTAACGAGCGTGACATGTCATTTGCTTGTAGTATGAAATTTGAAATGCTACATTATACACGTTATATTTTATATACATACATATATGTCATACATTTTATATCCTTCCCTGTCATATAAATGCTACTGCATTCGTATCTACAAACGATGGTTATCACTTTTCATCAAATATGCTGTCAACTTGTCATTCTTAGAGTTTGTGTCATTAAAAAAACCACTGTTTAGTGCAATTCCCTACCAAAGCCTACACTATATGTATGTACATATTTTATACCTACACAAAGAACCTGTTTTTTTAGTGAATTAGCCGTTACTATACATAATAGTCTACTCGTCTGCCAAACGTGGCAACAACAGGCAAAACTCCCCAATAAGGGAGGCCTCCCCTTATTTCATATTATGTTCAATAGTGAACAGTTAAAATGTATATAGTTAGTAACTATGTACATACATCTCATTAGGTACTATTAAATGAAACTGTCAAACGTGATTTATACTTTATTGTTATTTATTAGTAAAATTACATACATATGTGATTGTATTGATAACTAAAATATAGAATTATTTGCTCAAAATTGGTGTATAAGAAAACATTGATTGTGAATTAAAATTAGATGGAGACTGTAAAAATTAGTATAGAAACTGAGATAATTCTCTATCAAACTCGTGTTACTGCTGCGAAGCAATTGTGTTAATTAACTACGTTTCGATTTAAAAGTTGAGATAAAAATTATAAACTAAGTCATATTTTATTGAAGAATACAAATAATGAACAAATTATCATCAGTAACGTAGTTATAAATAAATGGAGTTTTTAAATCCAATAAACTCCAACACATTTTGTAAAATTTATTATCGCTGTCATTTTACTCAAAATTATTCTTTTACATTTATTTCCGACATCACTGTGAACAAGGTATAAGAAGCTCGAACAATCTGAAAAAAGAGAAGAATTATTTACTTTAAATAAATACAATGTACATTCATTTAACTGTTTACTTAATTATCATTTTCTTTATTATTTCTGTAACACTCCTGTATTGTGTGCATTTTATGACACTAAAATACCAAACAAACATCCAGCTAATTAAACTCGTCATGATGGTCAACTGACCTGACTTCATCTTCTCCTATTATCGCTCACTGCTACTCCGTCAACGTATACCAATAGTGTGGGTTACCGTTCCATTATCATCCATTAAGAAATTAGAGAAAACTCCTCTGAAAACATGCCATATGCCTCTGCTTTTTGTTTCATTCACTTTCAATTGAACATAATAATGAACTTCCTGGTTACTATAGATCAGTCTAGGTCTCTGAATCCACATCCATACTCCATATCGAGTTTGTTGTTAGGCAAAGAGTTGTTCATTTTTTTATACAACTTAGAATGGCAAACAAGCTGACGGCCTACCCGATGGAAAGTAGTAATCGTCGCCTATATGAGCATACCATGAACATAACAGAGTATACTGTTTCACCCAGGATATCCCCTAAGCGTTGCCATTCCTGAAGACTCAGGTGTTATTCTTCTATACCCTGTAAATTCACTGCCATATCCCACCGTTCAAACTGAAACACAGCTATGCAAACACAACTGCTTCACGGCAAAAACAAGAATGGGGCAGAGGTGCCCAAGCAAACGACTTTTATACAAAGTCTCCCTCTGATAAATAAAGAAAAGATAACACAGATATCTTACCGAAATCATTGTACTCAAGGACAAAGGCACAACGACAGACACGCGAGTTTTTAAAGGATACGTCCAGCGGGTCATTGCGATGAAGATATTTCGGCGGAACTTCGGCGAGACCGATACCCAGTTGCTTAAGTACATAGCCGAACAAATTGATTGGCTCTAGAAATGATATAATAGTATACTCGTAATTATTGTTTATTTTTATAAAACTTACTAGAAATGTAACAAAGTGAATAATTATGCCGACCATTAGACAGTCAACAGATGTCCAATAGAATAAATAAAGATCGATTAACTGGTTGAATATTTCGATTTGTTATTAATTTCATTTATAAGCCGCAGTTTTAAAATTACACTTACCTCATACTCTACCAAACTCCCATAATAACAATAAAAGAACAATTGGCCTTGAAACTCGACAAATAAGAACCCTAGATATGTGAAATCTGTTGAGAATTTATACTGAAAACAAAAATCAATAATATTTAACAGATAGAATTATAACCAAATACAAATAGGGTTTAATAGAATTTGATAATTTTAAAAGTCGCCGGTGTACATGACATCCTTTAGTTAGTGATTTTACCCTTAACTTTAAATTTACTATCGATTGATTAATGGTTCTTTTCTCTTTCGATCGTAATCAAAAGCAGTTCTTATATTGAATCCAGAAAACAAAATTTCTTATATTAAATTCACAAAGCAAAACAGTTCTTATATTGAATTCTGATCCTATCCTGTCCTAAATTTCTATAAATTTATATAAATATCTTCAGCGGTATTTCAATGATTTCTAAAAATGATGAATTAAACAATAAAGACATCAACTAACTTGATCTGTGTACTGTTACTTGAACTGTTATAAGTTATAACTATAATATATAAACTATTAGTTATAAATTAAAACTTGTTATATGTTAAAACTATATTTATGTTATGATATATTATCATAGATAATCTTCGATGGTTATAAATAAAAAAAATAAATGATTAGAAAAAGATAGTAAATTATATCATTTTGCGACCTACTACAGTTGTAATTTTTACCTTATGCAAATAGTCCGAATTAGCTTAATAACTGATTGTCATGGTATACATTGACCATTTCAGAAGCTACAATTCAATTATTTGAGCTAATCTATATAATTGTTAGTCAATACGTACTATACTTAATACACATATGACACAGCAACAGGATCCAGTCATCGAAATAAATTGGAATGATAATGCGATATTGAACACGGAGTTTACATTCTTTGTAAACCTGAAAAGTAGAGGCTTTTAGCAAAACAACAATTCAAATTATCCAACATCATAGATTGTAGTTCTTACTATATTAATGCAATGTGGAATTGAAATCTAAATACGATCCTTAATATATAATCATATAACTCTTTAATTCAAGCTATATATTACAATATATGGGCTTATATCAATCTTAAGGTACTGAATTTAAAGACACTTTCTTTGACGGCGACTCTCTCTACCGCCAAAGTACGATTCCCTCTAGCCAGAACTTTGGAGATAGAAGCGTTTCTGGAATGCCCGGAATGTAATCTATGTTTGAAGTATTATAATTACAGTTTTATTTCATTTATGACATGTACAACGAATGCAACTTAACATAATTATGTTAATATATCTGGAATAATAAGAATTCTTATTGTTCCAGACTGGTCGACTTGTATGTTGATTAGTGAACTGTAGATGCTGGTTGCAAGTTGGTATAGCAATAATAAAAAGACCACAGTGTGGAGTGAAACTAGTATTTTACTGCGAGCGACTCTCGTTACAAGACGCTGTTACATGGCAGAGTGTTATTATATTGTTGCCATGTACAAAATTACATTTGTACGAGCTAACATTTGCACTTATTGCTGTAAATGGAAACAAAAATTAATGTTAGTTTCTAACAATTACCAATTAACTTTATCATATTTATCCACGTAATATGCAAAACGTTCTTTCAATGTGGCATCTTTGTCATCTTTATATATTACTTGATGGCCAGTTGTACTCTCTTCTACCTCATCGCCATCAAACATGTGTTGTATGTTGTATTTCATTATTCTCAGTTGTACCATCGCTTGAGCATAATACATTGCTACGACACAATCAAACGCCACATGACCGTATGCCACATATAATGTGAGAATGGCTTCTACAAATACTGTAATGACAAATCTGTAAGAAAAAATAAAAAATACTTGAGTTATTTTCGACGGACTTCACAAAGGAAGGCTCTCAATTCGGTTGTATTTTTTTTAATGTTATCTGATTTTGCCACGATCGAAGTCGGTTTTTTTTTTTTGTTAAACACAGTCTTAAATTATTGTAATTAAATTAAAAGATTGTGTTAATTGAAAAATTTACCGAACTGATATCAATCAATACCAATTTTATCTTTACAATCTAATAATAAAATACCCGTGCAAAGCCAGGGGCTTCACGTGGGTAGATAGGTAAAAGATCTCTGTATAAAATAAAATAAAACCCATGTTATTTGCTGATAATATAGTTTTCTACACGTAAAATAATTTTGAAATATTAATAATTAATATTTTTTAAAATCAATTAATATTTTAGTATATTTTGACATTATCTATTATAGACAAACATAAATCTTTCCTCTTTATAACATTAAAGAAAAGGAAATGAAGCAGCAGCGCGATAAAACTATAAGTGATATATGTTGTCCTAGAATCTGAAATGCCACCACACCAAAAATAAAAATCAGTTCAGTGGTTTTTGCATATTTCATGCACAGACACAATCCAGTTACATTTTTATTCTATATAATAAAATATGTATATATTAGCACATATTAGTGACAACAGAACCAAAAACACCTCGCTACTGCTATTTCCTACTTCTCCAGAGTATTATGAAAAATCTTAGGTTACATGAGGAATCTCTGTTTAAGAGTAGTTTTTTTCTCAATTTTTTTTTTTTCTTGTGAATTGATGATATATTAGTCATATTCTGTTTACAATATTGTACTGTGATCCATATACCCCTAAAAAATGGGGCCAATTCTGAGACGCCATTTCTCTTAAGTTAATTATTTTAATTTGATAATTTAGTAAAATTACTCTTTTATGGACCATCATAAACTAATTTGACTTGAATCTATTAGAAAATTAGTTTATGTTGGTTCTATAATGTTGTAATTTTTATAGAAGTCAATTTTTTATTTTTAACCTATTTCTATCTCACGTACTACGCAGTACAAAAAATGTATTTATCGATAGATTCGATCTAGGCAGACAGAAATTAACTATTGTAAATAATAAATTAATATATTTACCCTGACATTGGCTTCGAATCAATTGGTACATAGAAGAGCACCGCTGTATCATCATCTTTTAACTTCTTCCTAATATAGGAAATTATCCAAACTACACAGCCTGTCGTTAAAGTCGTGTACATTACCGTAGTTATTCTAAACATTTCCTTATTATTATCTTTCAGAAGCTTCTCATCCTTTTCACTTTTTGTAGCAAAATAGGGTCCTATGGAGAAAATATTTCATAATTTTAAATCACCATACATCAATAAATAATAATAATAATAATAATATTAAATAACATTACTGGTCTCCTGTAACATTCCACATCCATCAGGTTATGGGCCAGCAACGCACAGATGGCGAATACAAAAAATCAAGTTGGATTTGAACATCTTAATAAAACAAATTATGATACATGGAAAATACAAGCAGAAGCTGTACTCATAAAAGCAGGACTTTTTACATGTTTATCATCAACCGATATTAATGCAGAAAAAGATTTATTGGCCAAAGCCGAACTGCTATTAATAATTTCGCCGTCCCAACTTAAATTAGTAAAATCATGCAAAACAGCAAAAGACGTATGGGAGACCCTTAAAAACGCCTACGAAAGTCGTGGACCTGCACGAAAAGCAACATTATTAAAAAAGTTACTACACAAAAAAATGAAACATGATGAATCCGCCAGAGATCACATAAATGAATTCATCGACTTGGTGGATAAATTAAAAGACATGGACATCAGCATCAATGAAGACCTCCTGAGCATAATGTTATTATACAGTTTGCCAGATTCCTACGAGAACTTCAGAGTGGCAATCGAGTCTCGTGACAAACTTCCGTACCTCGAAGAACTCAAAACAAAAATTATTGAAGAAAGTGAAGCTCGTTTAAATAAAAATCTGGAAAAGGAGGAAGAAGAAGAAGCATTTTATGGAGGGAAACATAAACAAAAATCTTATCGATTTCAAAAATTCAAAAATAAGAATTCAAATGGAAATAGAATACAATGTGACAACTGTCATAAATTTGGACACAAAACAAGTGATTGTTGGTTTAACAAAAATGTAAGAAATAAAAATGTAAATTTATATTGCACTGAATCTTGTTATACTATAGAAAATAAAAATGATAATAAATGGTGCATTGATAGTGGGTGCACATCCCACATGTGCAATGATAAATCTCTTTTCGTGTTCATAAATAAAGAAGAAAATGGAACACTTAAGTTAGCCTCGAATAAAACAGAAAAGATAGAAGGCAAAGGGTTAGTAAAGATAAAAATTAAAAATGAAACAGTAAATTTACACAATACCTTATATATTCCAGAGTTATCAACTAATTTGATATCCGTAGCACGAATTACTGAAAATGGTTTTAACGTATTATTTACAAAGAATAATGCAATTATTAAAAATCCAAATGGAAAACCAATAATTACAGCAAGGAAGGAAGATAAACTTTATTATGTGAATGCAAATTTAAGCACAAAAGAAAAAGCAAATCAAGCCTATAAAGAAGAATCAGATATAGACATATGGCACAAAAAACTAGGACATTTAAATGAATATGATTTAAAACGAGCTATGAGAAATAACATAATAAAAGGCATTGATTTTAATGAGAATGACAAATTAAAAGAATGTGAAAGTTGCGTAAAAGGAAAAATGACGAATTTACCTTTTCCGAAGGAAAGGCCTGAAGAAACAAAAGCTCCTCAAAAACTACATACTATACACTCAGATGTGTGTGTCCAATGCCCGTAAATAGTAACGGAGATCACAGATACTTCGTCACCTTTACGGATGAATACAGCAGATATGGCAGAGTCTATTTTCTGAAAAATAAAAGTGAAGTTTTAGGAAAGTTTATAGAATATAAAAAGGAAATGGAAAGATATACAGGAAATAAAATAAAAATATTGCAGACAGATAACGGAAAGGAATATGTTAATAACGAATTCAACACGTATTTAAAGGAAAACGGCATAGCTCGACGCTTATCAGCTCCTTATACGCCCCAACATAATGGGTTAGCTGAACGGAGAAATAGAACTCTCTTGGAAAAAGCTCGATGCATGTTAATCGAATCAAAAATACCAGAAAGTTTTTGGGCCGAAGCAATACACACGGCGAATTATATAACGAATAGAGTACCTTCCAAGGCCACAAATGGAAAAACACCTTTCGAGATATGGGTTGGTTACACTCCATCAGTGAGACATTTCAGATGTTTCGGAGTAAAAGCTTTTGTATTAAATAAAAGAAATTTAAGAAAATTTTCACCCAGAGCCAAGAAAGGATTTTTTGTCGGCTACTCCGAAAATACAAAAGGCTACAGAATATGGGTTTCAGAATTAAAAAGAGTCGTTATAAGTAGAGATGTAAAATTCTTAAAAGATTTATATTACGAAGAAATAAAAACAAATGAAAACGAAGAAGGTATTAAGTCGTATATACAATTAAATTCAGAACAAATAGATACGAAGCAAATAGATGAACAAATTCAACCTATAGTTTCTGATCAAAATGATGACTATAATACCACAAATGAAGAACCCATAACGCTAACTGAGGAAGAAGATAATCTTAGTAATATAGAACCCAGAACGTCACAACATGAAAGACCACAAAGAGATAAAAAGAGACCAGCATGGTTGAAAGACTACAAAGTAGAAAATGATACAGATGAGAGCATGCACGTGACAGAAATGGCTTACCTTGGTGAACACGATGAAAACGATGCAGGCTGGCACGATGCTATTAAAGCTGAAATAAAAGCACACATTAAAAACGGAACGTGGACAATAGCAAAGAAAGAAAAAGGTATCAATGAAGTAGATTACAAAATGATATTAAGAATAAAAACGAAAGCAGATAACACTGAAATAAAGAAGGCTAGGTTAGTGGCGCGGGGATTCACACAGCAACCTGGTGTAGATTATACTGAAACATTTGCCCCCGTTGTGAAACTAAGTTCTGTTAGATCAGTCATTAGTTCAGCCATAGAGGATAATCTAAAATTAGATCAAATGGATGTCACTACAGCGTATCTTAATGGAGAGCTAGAAGAAAATATACAAATGAAAATGCCTCCTTACTTAGAAAAATATGTAATGGAAATTATGGTTGACGAAAGTAGTCAAAATGATTTAACATTCTTCAATAAGGCTAAACGGATGCTAGAAGATATTAGAAATATTAAAGAAGAAAAAGTTTGCAAGCTTCAGAAAGCTTTATACGGTTTAAAACAATCCGGACGCCAATGGTATAAAAAATTAGATGCAGAATTAAAAGATATAGGTTTTGAATCATGTAATGCAGATCCTTGCATATACCTATTGAAGAAAGGAGGAGATAAAATAATAATAACAGTCTATGTCGACGATTTAATTATAGCATATTCAAGTTCAGAAATTTTAAAAGAAGTAAAGAAAGCACTAGAGAGAAAGTTCGAAATGAAAGACATCGGAGAGTTGAAATACTGTTTAGGTATAGAATTTAAACAGGATAAAGGAAAAATTACTATGAGTCAAAAGAAATACATTAAAGATATCCTTAAGAAATTCTCCATGCAAGATGCAAAATCTGTGGCAACTCCTATGGAGACAGCATTAAAATTAAAGAAAGAAGAACATCCAGATTCGAACTTACCCTACGAGGTTTGTCCGGAAAGTACGTATAAAAGTTTTTTAAAAATTTTATTTTACAATTATTCAGGTAAATCAATTTTATCCCCTTCAAAGTACTCCCCCTGTGACATAATGCACTTGTGCCAACGCCGTTTCCACTGTGAGAAGGCTCCTTGAAAGTCCTCTGGTTGTAGGTTTCTCAGCTGCCCCGTCGTAGCTTTTTTTATCTCATTTATGTCCCCCAAATGCCGCCCCCGAAGTACCAATTTGGTTTTTGGGAACAAGAAGAAGTCACACGGGGCCAAATCCGGCGAATAGGGGGGGGGTGTTCGGTCACCGTAATGGAATTTTTACTCAAAAACTCACGGAACGATCTTGGCGCAAATTTTTTTCATTTGAAGTTCGTTTCTTAGAATTTCGTGGACCACGGTTTTGCCCAAATTAAGCTCTTCAGCCACCTGTCTGACCGTTAAACGACGGTCCCCATTAACACAAGTTCGAATTCTTTCCACGTTTTCGTCGGAATGTGAAGTGGAAGGACGTCCTGAACGTGGGTCATCTTGAACGCTTTCTCGGCCCTCTCTGAATCTTTTTAGCCACTTGTGGACGGTTGGTTCCTTCACAGCATCATCCCCATAAACTGTTCTGAGATCGGCAAAAATTTCACGGCCATTCTTGCCGAGTTTCGAGAGAAACTTGATTACAACGCGCTGCTCTTCAACGGAAGCGGGCTCCATGCCGACGGGGTTTCGTTAAGAGGTAACTTCACAGATGGCGTGACAAGCCAGTTCGCACCGCACGGCGGTCAGACCAGAACTGAAGCATTGTTAGGGACATAAGGAAGGGGTCCTGCGCTTACCTGGCCTCCCCACTCCTCTTTCTCGCATTCCAGAACACTTTTATACGAACTTTCCGGACAGACCTCGTATAGAAACTTGATTGGAGCCCTCATGTACCTGTCAGTTGCCACGCGACCAGACATAGCTCATGCTGTTAGCTATCTTGGTCAATTCAATGCGTATTATGGAAAAGAACACTGGGCAGCTGCAAAGCGCGTAATTAGATACTTAAAAGGTACAATAGATTTAAAATTAACATTCCACAAGAATGGAGATAAAATTTTAAAGGGTTACGCAGATGCCGACTGGGCATCGTGTCCATTAGATAGACGGTCATATACCGGCCATTGTTTTATAAAGAACGGTGCGGTCATAAGTTGGGAGTCAAGAAAACAAAGGACTGTAGCACTCTCAACGGCGGAAGCCGAGTACATGTCTTTGAGCGAATGTACAAAAGAGGCTGTTCATTTGAAAAATATTCTGACTAATTTGGGTTACTTCAAACAAAAAGGAATTACTATTCACAACGACAATCAAGCCGCACAACAGTTAGCAATGAACCCTATTATTAGCGCCAAATCCAAACATATCGATATCCGCCAACATTTTATAAGAGATATGGTGCAACAAAATGTGGTGCAACTTTCATACCTAGGAACAGGGAATATGATAGCGGACATCTTTACAAAAGCTTTGCCTCGTCCTAAATATGAATACTGTCGCCAAGAGCTGGGACTCCTACAGTAGGTAGAT